AAAGCTGGCATGAAATTTTTTTATTTTTTCCCAAAAAAGACTAAATTCTTAAAGCTATCATGAACTTTAAAAAGCATAGTTTTTTTATGATATGCTATAGCTATGCTAAGCTTGAATGTTGTTTGAATATATATTTAGTAAAATTTTTATTCCTTGTGATGCGCGAGTTCTGTCGAAAACTTGTCATGTAATTTCCCATAATTCAATTGAAAGTGGATTTTTTTCAAGTTTATTGACTCGAAATTTGTAAATTTCAAAATCGGTATTTGAAAGCTGCAGAATTTTTGATTTCAAAGATTTTCAAGGGTTAAATTGCAAAAGAAATATATGCTCATGTTTTTTATCGTATCGTAAATGGCCGTCAAATATAGGAATTTTATTTTTAATTCGAATTTCGTGTTTTCAGAGTCAAGCAAGAAGAAGCAGAGCGTAAAAAAGCAGAAGAAAAAATCCGACGGGACCAAATCTTCCAACAATATCTACAACGCAAGAAAGAACAGGAAGATGAGGAAAATGGAGTCGTGAAACGTCCAATCAAAACCAGGCCCAAGGCTGATAACAGCGGTGGTAGTCAAGGACGGGGGTCACGACCTCGTCCAAAGTCCATGTTTGTCAAGGCAGACAACACACCTGATTCTAAAAATAGCTCGATGGATGATTTGTCCACTTCTGGTGATTCGTCAGGTTGGTTTTTATTAGCAGACGTCAAAATAATAATGGCCGCCGTATTGTCAGCTTCTTTTTAGGTTTTTAAGTCTTGAATTATTGGGTTGGTTTTTTCAAAGAAATTGTTGCTGAATTTTTGTTTGGAAAGTCAAAATTGGCCAATTTGAAATCCAACCTTTTTGGACTTTAATTGGGAGAGTTCCTTTCATTCTAAATTTAGTCATTTCTTACTAGGTTGTTTCGGCCTCCTTTTTAGAGAGTTCAGTTTGAATTTTACAAAGTGGTTCAATAAAATAATTGATCACATTATTAAAGGGGTTGACTCTACCATTTCAATAAAAAAAAAAGGCCACAATTTCTTTAAAGGGAAAGCTTCCATTAATTGGACAGATTCAAAGCATTTTGTTTGGTTGCCAATTTTATTTTGTTTTAAATTTTGTTTGGGATTTTAAAGTTCTTTGCATTTAATTTTGAATTGATCCCAATTTTGATTGTGTCCCAAGAAGCCATTGTAAAAATGATCACTTACTGGGCTCTTAATTCTGTCAGCAGAAATAATGAAAAAAAATTGGTCAAAGATCCATGCAAGATTTGGGATTAATTCAAATCTTTAAAGCAAAGACCGTCACCCAAATTTTTTGGGAACCTTTTTGATTTATTTTGCTTCTTGATTTGCATCTTGAGTTCTTTTACTTTGATCTGCAAACTTTGGGCAGATTCTAAAGACTTAGGTGTAGCTCTTTAGCACAATTCTTCTCTTCCTTGAACACTTATCATCTTAAGACCCTAACTGAAATGGCAAAAAAAAGACCACTTCGGTACCACTTTCCTTTTTACGGACACAAGAGGTCCGTAAATTTGTACCTGCAGAGCATCTTGGACCACATTTTTGGATGATTTGCTTTTATCCCTGCATCATGATCAATTAGTTGATTTTGAAAGAATAGGGATATCTAGATGCATCAAAGACTAATATACTCTGTAGCTCCCCATTTGAATAAGATATACTGTATATTTGTGAACATAATGCTCACTTTTTACCCTCGAGTAAATCTTAGGGAGCCACGGTGGCTCAGTGAGTTCGTCGCTTGCTCACTAACCTGAAGGTTCAAGGTTCAATTCCGGCATAGGTCGAGATAATACCTTCAGATTTTTCAACCCAGTTTCCCTTTGTTAGTGATGCAGGTAAGAGGGACTGACATGGAAAAAGCGTCTAGTCGTTCAGATGGGACAATAAACTGAGGCACGTTAAAGATCCCTCAACAGTTGGAAATCGAAAAAGAGCTGTCTAATGCCACTGTCCTGGTAAAATTTCCCTTATTGCACCCTGCATTGCATTGCCCATGTTCATTAACCCATATGGTGCAGAAAAGTAGGACGTAAAACTCCATTCATTTCATTTCATTTTGAGTAAAACCTTAAAAAATCTGTCACTGTAAATAATATGCCTGCCATCCAGAGGTAAAAATCAAGAAGTTGGCATAACGCAGACACCATAATATTGAGTGGTATCGCGTATTCCAAAACCCTTACTTATTAAGGTAAGGGCGTTTGAGGGTGAAAAACTGTGCATTATACTCGAAAATATACAGTATGTGTTTTCAAGATGTAGACTCCTTTAAATTTAGTATAAACCCTTGGAATTAAAGATGTGTTCTCCCTATAACATTCATAATTATCATATATCACTAATTCACTAATTCTTTCATCTTTTGTGGAGAATCATTCAAGGTTGGGGCCCCCTTTTCTCAAAGCACAAATTTTGGCAGCAATATTGATGAAAAGGGATCAGAATTGAACCCTTGATCTACCAAGAAGCTTTGGTCTTTGAAAAAGTTGACATTGGTTGACATTTTAGATTGTCTAATGTCAAATTTGGGAAATAAGGTCCTCTCAACTTGAATGATTCTCCTCAAAAATATCACAATTTAGAGGGAATCTGTTTTTAATTTTTGCTTCTCTCTATCTTCTGTCCTTATTTTTTGTTCTGTTCATTTTTGGTTGCATCTTGTTTTTTGACTCATTTCAGCCCCACGTTCTACACCTCGTTCTCTACGGCTGCCTTCGTCCCGATTTGGGTTTGGGTTATCTAATAACAAAATGCGCAAAGCAGGTTTGTACTAAAAACTTGTTGACAGAAAGGTGCTTTGATAAGATACTTCCAAAACACAGGCATTTGTCCAATGGGAATGGGTCTTTGGAAACACAGGCATTTGCCCCATTGGAATGGTACTTTGAAAACATATGCTAAGTACACAGGCATTCATCGGAATGGTACTTTGAAAACATATGCTAAGTACACAGGCATTCATTGGAATGGTACTTTGAAAACATATGCTAAGTACACAGGCATTCATTGGAATGGTACTTTGAAAAAATATGCTAAGTACACAGGCATTCATTGGAATGGGACTTTGAAAACGCAGGCATTTGCCTATTTTGGAAAAGTACTTGAAACAACAAAGGCATTAGTGGCCTTTTTTCATTGGATTTTGTGATAGCTTTTGTGGTTTTCACCAAATTTTTACTGGTTTTGGTTTTTAACACAAATATTGAGGGATTAAATTGAAAAGGGCTTCAGCAGGATAACTAAGAGCTTCTAACTTAACTAATGAGGGAAAAAAATTAATAAAACTTAATTTCAGCCACCCGTATCTCTTTTCAGATTGACAATCCTGCCTTTAGTTTGTCTATCATATAATACAAATGAATCATAACTAACTTGCATTCGATTTCCTGTATGAATGATTCAATTGTAGACAAATCCTGTGTCATGTATTCACTCTGAAAATCATACAGGTAGCTCAAATGGAGCTTGTAGAAAAATTAACTAGATGAACGATGCATTTGTAGATGAAGTAATTGTCAAAATGTCATTCTGAAAAGGGATACACTTAGCTGATAAGAGCTCAAATTAGTGATTTAGAAAAAATCAAAAGCACCTTTCTTGTCACAATAGCAAAGTGAATCAAAGACTTAAATTTTTTTATGAATTGTAATACTCTGACTTGCATCTTGAGCATTGTGGAAACTTTTTTTTTTCAGGTAAAAAATCTCTTGCGTCTGCAAATTTTTTTATGGATTCAAATTTTTGTGCACTGCTGAAGCGCACTAGAACTCTTACTGCAATTTTTTTGTAGACGTGATCTTACTTTTCTCTTCTTTTTTTCCTATTTTTAGTTTCTTGCAATACATTAAATCAAAACACCCCGACAGGTAGCGCCACCTACAGACGTCCTCAATCTCCAGGTAGGTAACTCTTCAGAGTTATTGCCCTTGGTTTTATGTAAATTCTTCAGAGTTATTGCCCTTGGTTTTATGTAACTCCATTAGAGTTCTTTGCTTTGTTTTAATGTAAATTCTTCAGAGTTATTGCCCTTGGTTTATTTAACTTGTTCAAAGTTATTGCCCTTGCTTTTATGTAACTCCAAGATATTTCCCATGATTATTTGTAACTATTAGAGTTATTGCCCCTGGTTTTATGTAGCTCCATTAGAGTTCTTCCCCCTTGGTTTTAGACAACTCGATTCGAGTTATTGCCCTTAGTTTTATTTAACTCCATTAGAGTTCTTCCACGCTGTATTATACAACTTCTTCAGAGTTCTTCCCCTTGGATTTATGTAACTCCATTAGAATTCTTCCCCTTGGTTTTACATAACTCCATTAGAGTTCTTCCCCTTATTTTTGTTTTTTTTAAGATTGGTGGAAAAATTAACAAATGTTTTGGGTTAACTTTTTTCTTTTCAACTGAGTCCAAAGACTATTTTGGTTATTCAAATAAATTTTTTACAAGAAAGTAAACCCCATTAACAATTTTTTGGTCGTTCATTTTCTTGGGCCCTTGGGTGATTGTACCACTTAATTTGTCAGAGTACCAGCGAGCAGCCAGTGAAGCAATTAAACGCTTTAAATTACTTCAGAGTTCAGAATTTCAAATTTTTTTTTTATTATTTACACTCAGTGTTCAAAGGGTTAACTAAACAAAAACTAACAAAATTTGGTAACGGATTTTTTATTAACATTATTTCTAGATCTGTTTAAAACTAGTCGTAAATCAAGCAGACACGAAGAGGGTGATGGTTACCAAGCAACAGGTGGTGAATACGCTGGTAATATTCCTTTACTAATATATCGTTTAACTTTGGTACCGGTTTGGGGTTGATGTTCAAATTAGTATCTTTGAGTACCATTTTTTGGGGTACCATCTTTCGAAAATTCACAAAGAACGCCTTTTTCACATGTCTTTTGCATCAGAGGTAACCTTTTGATTGACAATTCTTTCTGTTAAATTTTCTGTGGTCTGGATCCTACATTAGAAGGTTTCCGTCTATATTTTAGGTCCTAAGTTATTTGTGAAACCCAGTTCCAAGTCTAATAGAAATTTGATTACAAACGCCATCAGTCATTGTTGTCTAGCTGGTATTGTTAATAATGACGTGAAAAATAAAGTTTTAGAGGTAAGTATCTCTTGATTTTCACTTACATTGTAGTGTCAAGCACGAAGTAGACCATGCTTGCTCTTTTGGAAACACCTGATGGTACTTCTCATTTGAGGAGTCCACTATTATACAATTATTATTTCTGATACCTTCATGCTTTTGACGAGATTTTTGGTCAACGAAAAATTGTTTTGCTTGAACAGATTTTTATAGTTTAATCTTATGTGTTTCATTATGACCCTACTGGTGTTGCAGTGTTTAATATTAGGGTTGATACAATACACGATACGAACAACAACACAATTTACAGTTTATGAGTTTCTTAAGAACAGTCGAGCGAATGGTGGCTGCGGGTTCAATTCTCGATCGGGGTGTGAAAGTCAGATGACCTCGAATAAGTCATCTTCACTCATAATTCCAGTCGACCCAGCTGTAAATGGGTACAGATAATCTGGGAAAGATCAATGCCAAGAGGTTTAGTCAAGAACCAGCTGGTAGAAAGGATCCTCATTATTCCAGTCAACCCAGCTGTAAATGGGTACAGATAATCCAGGAAAGATCAATGCCAAGAGGTTTGATCAAGGACCAGCTGGTAGAAAGGATCCTCATTATTCCAGTCAACCCAGCTGTACATGGGTACAGATAATCCACGAAAGATCAATGCCAAGAGATCTGACCAAGGACCAGCTGGTAGAAAGAATCCTTAACTGTGAAACTAAGTTGTTATCCTTGTTAAATCAATACCAAGAGGTTTGGTCAAGGACCAGCTGGTAGAAAGGATCCTCATTATTCCAGTCAACCCAGCTGTAAATGGGTACAGATAATCCAGGAAAGATCAATGCCAAGAGGTTTGATCAAGGACCAGCTGGTAGAAAGGATCCTCATTATTCCAGTCAACCCAGCTGTACATGGGTACAGATAATCCAGGAAAGATCAATGCCAAGAGATCTGACCAAGGACCAGCTGGTAGAAAGAATCCTTAACTGTGAAACTAAGTTGTTATCCTTGTTAAATCAATACCAAGAGGTTTGGTCAAAGACCAGCTGGTAGAAAGGATCTTTAACTGTGAACCTAAGTTGTTATCCTTGTAAAATATAGTTGTTTCTTCCTTTTTCTTTCTTTACTTGGTAATTTATTTAATTCCTTTTGATTGTTTTTTTCAGGAGCTTGCTCGATCCTCAGCGAAACATTTTATCATTTTATTCCGTGACGCTGGGCTGCAGTACCGTGGTGTTTACACGTACGAACCAGAGACGGAAGAAGTTTTTAAATTAATTGGCACTGGTCCTAGATATTTAAATAATAGATCACTTGAAAAATATTATAAGTAAGTATAGGGTCTTCCAACAATTTTGGTGGGGGAATGGCTTGGGAATGGGGGGGTCTTCTACATCTGTCTGGAGGTCTTCTACATCTGCCTGGGGGATCTTCATCTGTCTGGGTGGCTTCTACATCTGTCCTGGGTGTCTTCTACATCTGTCTGAAAAATTTGATTTACTGAAAAAAGGCAGACAAAAAATGGTGGCATCATAGCTGAAAATTATTCCATTTAACTTTATAAATTCTGTTTTTTGCAGATACAATTCTGGAAGCAAGAGTTTTAGTGAAATCACCTCCACCAAGCATCTGTCTGTGTCCATTGACGCCATAGTTCCTGTTAGTACAGTCTGGAAGTCTTCAAAACCAACAGCTATGAGAAGATAGAGTCATCTTCAGCGCTTAATCGCTTAGTTCATTGTACATTCTCATTTCATTACGCTTAATTCTTGGGAAATTTACAGGAACTCTAATTCCATGAAAATTTTGTTTTTAGAACCAATTGCTTGTGGCTTAATTCTGTGCCAGTCATCTATTTGACACCCCTCAACTTTCTATTGAACTCTTCTTCACATGCATACCTTCTATCAATATGAAACTGGTTTTGCATGATTAGAAGGGTTCATTTGTAAGATTAGGGGTGTTTTTGTTGCAATTCTTTTTGATAAAGCACCTCTTTATTGAGCTTGAATATAGATATGTCTATGCTTAAATTGGAAATGGGTACAATGAGACTTAAAATAGACTCGTTAAGCTTCTATAAGAGCTTAAAATGAGTGGATAAAATTGGTACATTCTTAAGCTTTTATATAAATCTGCTAGAGCTGAAAACAAGTGTACTGAAGCTTAAAATTGGTACATTCTTAAGCTTTCATATAAGCCTGCTAGAGCTGAAAATCAGTATACAGAAGCTTAAAATATTGATACGTTGTTGAAGAGCTTAAAAATTTTATCAATGTTAAATATGGCTCTTGTAACTTGTGCTTTTAATCAGAGAGCAAAATAAAGTTGTATTAAATGTTAAGAAAAGAATTAGTTAACCCTGATCCCTTTTTAAATTCTGCATTGTTATTGTTATTGTAAATATGATATCACATGTATCGCATTTATCATGTCAAAATTATCATATTCAGAATATATATTCATATAATGTGAAGAAAAAACGAAACACACTATCATCCAGACACTTTCCAAAATATAAACGCAAGCAGTCCACTTTATTTAAAGGGAGTGCACCATTTTTTTGACCAATCATAACTTAGTCTCAGAAACGGGAATTTTTTAGCTCAGCCAATCAGTTATAGTATTCACAGCTCACCGTCAAAATTTTAGCCTTCAAATCCATGTGTGTTTAGAATGTTTGAAAGTTAAAAAGACATCTATAGAAATAGTGAGTAAAATTCCTAGTTTGAGATATTTTTAAAGGAATTATGTGATTTTCGTACATTTCTAGTACTTCTGAAGACTATTTACATATATTTAAGTCTCAAATCAACACCCCAAAAATGACACACCTGTCCCTTTAAGTAGTTATGAACACAATAAAAGTTGGCTAATATTATTTCATTTACTATCTGCTCTACCTCAAAATAAAAATGGACTCCTCGCGTTTTTGTAGTGAATCTTTCTGTAATCTCAAATCATAGCATGTATAGAATATTTTTCTTTAAAATGCTGAAGCTTTCAATAACCTCCTAACTGCTGTGAACGTTTTGTGGACAAAGCTTAAAAAATGGCCCCAGAAGCAATTGCCAAGTCAAGTCAACCAAATGTAAAGTTGTGCATTTACTTTCCTTTATTTATTTTTATTTGTTTATTTAAAAGTAGAAATTGTAGGATTTTTTAATTTATTATGTACCCATATCATTTGTATAAAGTTAAAATCGAGTTCAATTCTAAATCCCAAATTCATAATCCAAATAGGACAACAATTTTTCAAAGCAATAAAAAAGATATACACAAGAAATAAAGTTCATACAAGCAAGAGAATTCTGTCAATCAAAAATCTCGTCCAAAGTATGGCAAAATTGGTAGTAAAAATTGTATAGTAGTGGACTCCTCCAAAGAGAAGTACCATCAGGTGTTTCAAAAAGAGTAAGCCGAACAAATTTTTTTGTGATTTTTCTTAGGTTGTGCTTAATTATTGATTTATTTAAGCAAATTTTTAATAATTTTTTGTAATTTTAACCTCTTTAATTTGTGACATAGCTCCTTTAATCAGAAATATAAACATGTATCTTTTCTATGTATCTATTTATGTTATATTTTGATCTCAATGTATCATTGTGTATCTTTTGGTTTCATGTGTCTTTCATGTACATGCTTTGAAACCTTAGCCTACATTGAACATAGCATTTGATAGGTTAGATATTAAATGACCTACAAAAAGAGATGCATAACAATCTTGTCAGATCATGGGTTATAAGTGGAGTCCCCAAAGAAATAAAAAAAATCCTAAAATGAATTTGGGGATACATGAAACGAAAAGGCATAATGAATACAAGGACTGCTGTACCAATTTTCTGCTTTGGTTATCATCGTTTTTTGAATTTTTTATGTGTAGTTGACACTGATAGCATTAATTTACACCATACCAATTTTCAATCAGATGTCTGTGGTTCCTGCAATTCCACTAAAACTGAGCCTATGACACTATCACCAAAGCTGCTTATAGTATTTAATGTTTGGAATTGCAGGAACCACAGACGTCTGATTGAAAATTGGAATGATGTATCAGTGTCCCTGATACACATAAAAGATTTAGAAAACCTTTTTACAATCCCTTTAAATTTCCACCCACATTTTTCACAAAGGTGAACAAGCCCCCCTCATATAAAAAAGATATTTTCCATTTGTAGTTGAATCACCCTGCTTCCACCAGTAGACAGACTCTGTATATAGCATGCTATAATTTGTACTCTATCTTAGCCTCAAGTGCCATATATTTTTACACTGAAATTATCCTGCAAATTTCCTAGAAAACTGGAAATTTATTTTAGAAAATTGGAAATCTTCTTCTAATCTGGAAATTTTCGGTAGAAAACTAAAAATTTGCTGTAAAAAAAAACAGACGTTTGTTTTAGAAAACTAGAAATTTCTCCTAGAAAAATGGAAATTTCTCCGAGAAAAACCAGAATTTTCTCTTGGAAAACTAGAAATTTTTTCTAGAAAACTAGAAATTTCTTCTAGAAAACTAGAAATTTCTCCTAGAAAACTAGAAAATTCTCCTAGAAAACTAGTATTTAATCTTGAAAAACTTCAAAATTTAGAAAATTCAGCAAGAAAACTGATCTTTAGCATGAAAATTGTCTTCTCAAACAAAAAAAGAAAAAAAACTAGAAAACTTCACACGTTTCAAAGAAGCTGAAAGCTGGGAATTTATCTATCTTAAAAAGGATGGAAAACTAGACAATTTTCTTTTTAAGCAAGGTAGAGAATAGCTAAGAATTATTTTTGCACTTTTTGACCCAAAAATAAACCCTTCTAGAGCCTTAAGATGCTAAAAATTATTTTCTAAAATATTTGAATTAATTTTTGCTAAATGCCTTTTCTTCATTTCCTTCATTCATTCATTTAATTGTCTCATTTCTTCAATTCGTCTCAAAAATCATTTCATTCATTCATTCTTTTTGACACATTTTGAAATATTTTCTTTGGAAAAAATTTACTGGCCATGTGGACTCTCTGAAAGAGATACAGAGTTTATTGCTTAATCATAAAAAGTTTTATGAAAATGTTTAGGATGGACTAAGCATTATTGCTAAGCACTTTGCGTAAATTGCTTTTAAAGGCTTAAGCCCATGGTCGAAAATTAATATCCATTTAAAAATAGATGTCCTGATGAGGATTATATATTCAAAACATTCGTTAGCAGCATAAAATATGCTGTTACCATGAATTGAAAATTATTTTTTGAATTTTTCCCAAGAAAATATTTCAGAAAATGTCAAAATTTGAAAAATGTCTTCAGATAATATACTCTATAATTCCTCTGAAATCTATATAGATATATATATAAATTTATATTAAATATACCAATATATTTTACACTTAAATAACTTAAATATTTAATTTGATAAGTTAGATATTTAATTTAATAAATTAGATATTTAATTGAATAAGTTAGATATTTAATTTGATAAGTTATATTTTACACTTAAATAACAAATAATTAATTTGATAAATTAATAAGTTAAATATTTAATTTAATAAGTTAGATATTTAATTTAATAAGTTAGATATTTAATAAGTAAGATATTTCATTTAATAAGTCAAATATTTAATTTAATAAGTTAGATATTTCATTTAATTAGTTGAATATTTAATGTGATAAGCTAGATATTTAATTCAATAAGTAAGATATTTAATTTGATGAGTCAAATATTTAATTTAATAAGTTAGATATTTAATTTAACAAGTTAGATATTTAGTTTGATAAGTTAAATATTTAATTTTGTAAGTTAAATATTTAATTTGATAAGTTAAATATTTAATTTGATAAGTGAAATATTTAATTTAATAAGTGAAATATTTAATTTAATAAGTTGAATATTTAATTTGATAAGTGAAATATTTAATTTAATTACTTAGATATTTAATTTGATAAATTAATAAGTTAAATATTTAAATCAATAAGTTGAATATTTAATTTAATAAGTTGAATATTTAATTTAATAACTTAGATATTTAATTTGACAAGTTAGATATTTAACTTGATAAGTGAAATATTTAATTTAATAAGTGAAATATTTAATTTATTAAGTTGAATATTTAATTTGATAAGTGAAATATTTAATTTAATAACTTAGATATTTAATTTGATAAATTAATAAGTTAAATATTTAAATCAATAAGTTGAATATTTAATTTAATAACTTAGATATTTAATTTGACAAGTTAGATATTTAATTTAATAAGTTAGATATTTACTTTGATAAGTTAGATATTTAATTTAATAAGTTAAATATTTAATTTTGTAAGTTAAATATTTACTTAGAAAAGTTAAATATTTAATTTGATAAGTTAAATATTTAATTTGATAAGTTAGATATTTACTTTGATAAGTTAGATATTTAATTTAATAAGTTAAATATTTAATTTTGTAAGTTAAATATTTAATTTGAAAATATTTAATTTGAAAAGTTAAATATTTAATTTGATAAGTTAAATATTTAATTTGATAAGTTAGATATTTACTTTGATAAGTTAGATATTTGATTTAATAAGTTAGATATTTAATTTAATAAGTTAAATATTTAATTTAATAAGTTTTTTGGGAAAGAGAGTCTAAATTTATAATTTGTACATTTTGCACCAAAACTTACTAATACTTTTATAATGTTTCAAAAATGGCCGTAGTTTTGAAATAGAGAAAACGTTTTAGTTTT